GTGGCTCGCAACTGTGACAAATGTGAAACAAATTCCATAAGCTAGTCTTCTGCGAATTCATTTCCAAAGTTCACAACATGTGATTACTTACAGCTCTGAAGCTTTAAAGTTGTTAGGTATATTTATGTACGATTAGAAAGAAAATTTCACATGCTTTACAAAGGAGCTGCGATAGCATAGTTGGTATAGCGACTAGCTACAGGCTGGACATCACAGGAATTGGAGTTCAAGTCCGAGTAGGGTCAAGTACTTTCTCTTCTCCATGTCGTCCAGACTGGGTCTGGGGTCCATCCAACCTCCTAACCAATAGGTACCGGAGTAGCCTTTCCCTGGCGGTAAAGTGGCCAGTGTGTGAAGCTGACCACTCACCTACAGGTAGTGCCGAGGTCAAGAGAATGTGGATCTATACATCCATTCCCCCATATGGCTTCATGGAGTACTACCTAATTAGTTAAGTACAGGGATACTTTTACCTTACTTACTATGAGATCTTAATACAATGCATTCAATGATTGAGAAAACCTGGCAACAGTGTAGAGGGGACATAACATTCCTCACAGATTGCTGCTGTTAACTGCCGACAGCAGAATGACTCATTAGCATTGATAAACGCACGCCATCAGGTGGTCTGAGCTTGTCACTGCAGTAAGTAGAGTTAAAAGTCAGCCTCTGTTAGAGGTGTCGATAGGCGGTTGACATTTATACTGTAACGAAGTTCACTACTGAACAGCATATTTACTGTCGAAACTTTTGCAAGGAAAAAACTTACAGAAAATGTATCAGTAAGTTTCATTATAGATATTCTGACTCACCAGTTACCAAAGAGTCGTGTGTATGCAAGTTTGTGAAAAAGTGGCAGGTCACAGGTTTAATGTGTGACATAAAGAAGCAATCGAAGAGGATTGTGCTGACTGAAGAAAAAGTTCGGGATACTGAGGCAAGACTACAGATCAGTCCTTGAAACTCATTAAGACGTTTAGCACAGGAAACCGGTGTTTTGCTAGAATCTGCTTACACAGCCACAAAATTAATCAAATTTTTCCCATGTAAAATAACATTTGTGCATGAGTTGAAACAACCAGATTATGCAGCAAGAATTCGTTTTTGCAACAGCTGCTGCAAAATGTGCACGATGCAATCGTGGATCCACAGCTTCTGTTCATGACTGATGAGGTGTGGTCTCATGTTACTGGCCATGAAGATGTATAAAATGTAAGAATATGGAGCGATGAAAATCCTCATACTGTAGAGCAAGTACCATTACATAGTGAAAAGGTGGGGCTGTGGTGTGCTGTAAGTCTGCAGTGAATCATTGGCCCCTTATTTTTCCACAAAACCGTGAACTCTTGACAGGTATGTTAATGATATATCAAATCTGTTCTTCAATCACCTGACTGCTGAAGAAAGATAATAAGGGTTAGTAAGACAACGCTACAGCACATACAGCTAATGCAACCATGGTCACAATACGGGAAGTGTTTGAAGGCAGAATAATCAGCAGGGGACTATAGCCTTCCAGATATCCCGATCTCAGTTTTTGCGAATTTTATCTTTGGGGAAATCTAAAGGGAAAAGTTTACAAGAATAATCATCACAGCACTGAAGCTATGCAGAATGAAATAACACGCGTAACTGGTACAATTACTGTGGAAAAACTTCAGAAAGTGTCACATAATTTATTTATGCTATGTGGGGCATGTTTGCAAGCAGAATGGGGTCACTTTCAGCACCAGTTATAAAGTACGGTAAGTTTCTGTTATTTTTTTACAGTATTCTTATAAATGTGTGCATGTACAACAACTGATGTGAGAGAATCAGTGACACGACTACACTCTTGCTAGAGGGAAGGGCAAGGTAGTCATGGAGAAACATTCCATCCACTCTACGCTATTGAGAGTGTGCACGTTTATCAGTGCTAATGACTCATTCTGCCATCAGCAGTTACAACATCAATCTTAGAGAAATGTTGTGTCTGCTCTACACTGCTGCCAGTTTTCCTCGATCACTGAACGCCTTATATGTCTCAAAACTGCATCTGTAAAAAAAGTCATTAAGTAAAACCTTCCAGAGATGTCTTCTTTAACCTAGTGAGAACATTTTTAACAACCTTAATTTCAAAAACCACTTGAAATAATAAAAAATTAGGCAAAACTGCTTAGCTATGGAATCAATACACATGCAAAATTTCATCACAGTCTCAAGACTGTGAGGTGTAAATTTTATTTTCAGGTGTGGTGGTTTTCCATTGACTGATTCTGTACTCTTTCTTTCAGAATCTGTTTATATGTTAGGCCTTGTATATCTTGTCTTGAGATATTTCTCAAACAGCACAATTACATAGCAATGAGCAGAACAAAACTTGAACGTTTTACTATATAGAGAAACAACAAACATAGTCTTTGGAGAGTTTGATTCTGTACTCTTTCTTTCAGAATCTGTTTATATGTTAGGCCTTGTATATCTTGTCTTGAGATATTTCTCAAACAGCACAATTACATAGCAATGAGCAGAACAAAACTTGAACGTTTTACTATATAGAGAAACAACAAACATAATCTTTGGAGAGTTCATGTTTCATCTGAAAAGTGAAACAAAAATTTATAATACTCTGAAGTGCAGTCTTTCTTAGTTTTTTTTTGAAGAGGTAAGTTCTTGCATTAAAATCTTCTTGGGTGACCATGTCAACGTTCAGTTAAAAAAACATTTCAGAGATCCCTGCCACCTCCATCATCATTGTCTGTGTGGTGAATTGCCTCAGTGTGATACTTCATTTTACTGGCACACCACATCACATGAGGGCAGAGTCAAATTGTGCAGTCACTGATCCAACGCTAAATGTTTCACCATGTTGCTCAAACTGGTATTCCTGTTTGCTGATTAGTTTCTGCCTTCTATTTAACATGCTCTTCCTCGCTTGCCCCTTTGGATGCTATCTGATCTGTCTGTCAAAGAGCCTTAACAATATGGTGGAGAGATGAATACCTTCCTGTCACACATTAAGCCAATAGGTTGAGGCATTACTTGTACACTGACAGACTGATATGTAACAGCCATATATGGTTGTTCACTACATCCACCCTTATGATGGAGACAGAGATCTCCAAAACGATGATTTTAAACTGAGCACTGACATAGTAGATCACCTGGGACGATTTTAGTTCACTTGTTCACTATGAAAGCTTCAAATCTTACATAGGTGAAGTCTTTGAGAACTAACATTTGACATGTCCAATTGTAATTCTCCACAGCTCTGGATGAAATAATTTAATTCAATTCAATTCGTGTTTATTTACGTGCAAACTTAACAGCACAGAGGCCAATTACAAAGCTAGCATGAATAGAGAAATACACAAAAATAATTAAAAAACAAAATACAACAATGATAGTCTATATTAACTACACAGTTAGCATGAATAAAGATACAGAAGCAAACATACACAGGCAAAACCACAAAGAGAGAATCTGAGTTTCAAACAGAGCAACATAAATAATTCAATTCAATTCAATTCTGTCATTTATGTGGCAAGTCAACAGCTGCAAGGCCAATTACAGACAGAGCACAGTGTAGATAAAAGTAATTACATTATAGACAAACATAATATAAAGTCCAAGACAAATTACAGGCAAGCACTGGGGAAAACACAATAATGTAGAAAAGTAAACAAACAAACAACTGCTAATAATTCAATTCAATTCATGTTTATTTACGTGCAATAACTTAACAGCACAGTGGCCAATTACAAAGTTAGCACGAATATATAAGGTACAGAAAAATAATTAAAACAAAATACAAATATGACAGAAATAAATCTGTGAGCATAAATCTAGAGAAGACTTAAATATATACATACATTTATGAATTATTACGAGTGTTGCTAATACTATTAGTAACTAAATACTAAGATAAGACAACTGGGAGTGATAGCATAAAATTAATAACAAGTCAATAAATTAAAACCAATTACATAAGAAAATTAAAGTTAGCCGAGGTATACACATTTGTAGTTAATGAAAACACTAATCCAATTACACTGTAAAAGGTTTGGTACATGATTGTAAAATATGATTCAGAGAAACCGCTCCATCTGCAAATATGTCGAGATCTTTACCCACCATGTTGGTAGCAAAGGAGCACCGAGAAGAGGGACAGTGTCTTTTTGAGGGACAAACGCTAAAAGTAGAGAAGTCTCGAACATGGCACGTAGGAACACGAAGACTAGCATTATCCAGAAGAGAGGAGCAGGATTTAAGGCCACGATAAACCTGAATGAAGAAGAGTGCATCAAGAAGATGTCTACGCAGACTTAGAGGGTGCAATCTTAGTCTCTCTAAGGCAGATGTATAACTATAGTCGCTATGTGGGAAGTAATGATAGAAACAGACAGATGCAACTTTTTCTGGATGCGCTCAAGTTTTGTGGAGTCAGTAGACGTGATAGAATTAAAAGCTACTGAGGCATATTCCAACTTGGACCTGACTAGTGTAAGATACTGCATATATAAACAGTCAAGAGAAGAAAATCTAAAAGTTATTGAGCATATAAGACCTAGCAGCTTTATGCATTCGGAATATAAAAAATCAACATGATTGTGAAAATACAATTTAGAATCAAAGAAAACACCTAGGTCCTTAACACAACTGGTGTGTGTAATAGCAGTATGACAATAGCAATAATAATAATAAATTCATTAACATAAATCTAAGTGTTATTAAGAACTGAGAAATGAAACATATAAATATTTAATTAAGAAATGAAAAGTATAGATTTTCAGAGAGGATAATAATAATAATAATAATAATAATAATAATTCAGTTTATTGTTGTTTATTG